TTGCTTCTAAATGTTTGTTTTCTTTGGAAAAAGGATTTTATCGCTCGCGGTAATTCACATTTTGCTACGATTCCACGGTGTATTCTGTGTATTCGGTGACGGCAGCATATCCGCAGGGAAACCAGTCAATGCTCGCCAGTTATCTTTGGGAGGAGAGCTCGTTTCTCGCACTTTCATCTCACCTGAGATTATTCACCCGATTTTGTCTGCTCCAGGAAAAATGCGACATCTCTAGACTGAAAGTATGGGGGCGAAAGGTTTTGGGCGGAAGAGTAACGTGTATGTCTTTACTTGGAAACAGTTTTAATTTATCCAATTTATCTCTCGCGCCGGACGAACAAAGAATTGCGATGAGTTGCAAGTTTTATATGCGACATAATGAAGAGGCGAAAGTGAACGTTACGGAGCAACAACAAATATTTCTTCCTGCTAACGTCCTGTGATGCATAATAATATAAAAAAGTATTTGTGTTATTAATAAACATTCCTGTTAACGTTCCTCATACGAAATTCATTCTAAAATATACCGAGGTGTTCGCCTCGCTATTCTCGTTTTTTCAACCTTCTTTTTCCTGTTTGTCATCGAGTATTACCGATATGGCTAGGTGGACCGTGTTAACCTCTCCTGACTTGTCTTTTACGTCCGCATCATTTGCATCGCGCTCTTGTCATTGTTTCTTTCTCGCTGCTCGTTGTATCTATCGTTCCTCTCTCTCGCATCTCGTCATTTCAATACGAAATTTCTTGTCGAGTATTCCTACCCGAAATATCTCACACTTTCACCTTGGTGATAATTACAAACCCGCGGAACGTGCTCACTTTCAGCATTTTTACTAGATTTGACATACAAATTCTAACTCTCCCGAAGATTACAAAATCGAGGGAATAAGCTTAAGCGAGATGAAAGTTCGAAAAGTGATCAGTTTGACCAAACATACAAAATCGACCTCCTGGGAACCTATTGCCCTTGTTCGAGTGGTTGGCTTGGCTTTGCGAGGCCCTTAAGGGGTTCGTTCGGGTCGGCTGTACTTTTGCAATCGATTTCGACGCTTGAGATATTTACCAAAGATTGCGAAAAATATTGATAAATTATTCTCCGCCACTAGGGGAATAACGTAGAGCAAGGAACGTATCGTGTCTCTGGGAGTGTTCCCGTCGGCCGTAAAATTGGGTAAAATCGGAAAGTCGCGGCGTCGAATCCGGCGCTTCTTCTAGCAAATTTAAATAAACTCCCCACCGGAGAAATAAACCTCCAAGTGGTTGCCGACGTGTTTGGTCGTTTCATAGAAACGACAACAATGTGGTCTTATAGACATTCGACGGCGTATTTTTCGAAGATGGTTTGGAGAAGTTTACAGCACGAAGGTTGAAGTCTTAAATTTCGAAAAACCTATTTGGATGTCCATGTTGAAATCTCGATTAAGCGTTGAATTCTCCTGGAAAAAAGGGAAGCGGGGGGCCGTGGCTATTAACGATTGAATTTTAGAGATTACTTAAGGGGATGTGAAAGTGGCATCCGAGGGGTCAATCGTTCATCAAACTTTTCTTCGAACTGACTGTACCAAATCGTTTCAAACTTCACAAAATGAACGTGGAGGCTATAAGGGAGGTCCTGACCCTCACGAAATTTCATTCTTTATGAAAAATGTTAAGAATATCTATGAACAAATTGTTAAAAAATTGAAATTTCATGGGAGTCAGGACCTTCCTTAAAACTTTCATATTCGTGTTGTAAAGTTCGATACGATTCGGTACAGTCAGTTCAGGGAAAAGTTTCATATACGAGACCTCTTCACGGCACTTTCATATTACCTTAACATGAAATGGAACGCCTTAACGACAAACAAGTAACAACCCAACTACAAGCACAACCGTAACTATAGGAAAGATTTCGAAAAGTATTTAAGGCGACCAGAAAGGTACTTTAAGTCTAGACTGTAGTTAGAGAGTCATCATCTAACCTAAAAGTCGACGCTTAACTATTCCTTAGTGCCGAACAACGATATATCGTCGTTCTTCAAGTATTAACAACATCGAACGGCACTAAAAGGGTTAAACTATGCCGAAAGTTTCGATTTTTGCCTAATCAACGATGTCGAACAACGCAACTACAAATACAACCACGAGTACAAGAAAAACGGGCGGTAGATAGCGCTGCAGTCCGCTACTTAACCTAATCTAACCTAACCTAAGCTAACTTAACTTAACCTAACCTAACGTAATCTAATCTAAGAGCGTTGAGAGTCGAGTCTCACCCCGAACAAAATGCATTTCTTCTCCGAAAGTCACGCGACAACCTCATTCAGAAGTGCATTGCGTTTCTCACGAGATGGCGCGGCGGATGATTGCTTCTTCGAGAGACACGCGAAAGAATTTATGCGACCGGTGCTAATTGCGAATGCGGCATTATGCCGAAAGACTCCGATGGGCATGCCTACGTGCATTCGCGTCGGCATTCTCGATATTGCCCGACTCTCTGAAGTTGCGAATGAAATAAGACGGACGTATCCTCGGCATTTAAGGGAGAGAGAGAGGTTGGGGACGTCTTCTCGCTCGCCTTCGTGTGCAAACGGGAATGTAGGTTTTTCTTCATTCACCCATCGATACGTAACTACTGTGCGAATGATTTATGTCCGTCTGTTCTTTGTTGGCGCAATATCGCAGCTTCCTGCCCCCAGGTGCGAACGTTCATAAAATTAGATGCGAGGGAAGGTTTCGGGTTCCGATCGATTCTGGGCCATCGGATCCGTCTTTTTGACGTTTCGGGTTAATCGTTTTACGCTTAGAGGTGAATCACTGATCCGTGTACTAACTGGACAGCCGATACCACAGATTTTTATACGTAAACCTAGATCGCTAACAGGGGGAGTCCAAATGTGTTCAAGGGCTTATCCAGTTTACCTCATTTCGGTTTCCTTTTAAAGGCGCAAGGGGGCAGGGGAGTTTGTAATTTGACGCATTCGGTCAAAATCGCGGAAACAATTATTTTTTTGCAGTAAATTAATTTGACCCCCTCTTATCCTATCTACGGTTGAATGACGCATTGTTTTGACGAATGCGAAAATAGTACGATATTAGTTGACGCGCCAATGACCAGAAGGCTGTGGTCGCTTGAAAACGTCCCGCCATTTTGTAGGATATCAGCTATCCAGTTAGGGTATAGATCAGTGGTTTCTTCTGATACTATTTCGTGGCATGAGTAAGAGAAGTAACGAAAGAGAGTAAAACGAAATTTGTTGTAACAAATTTTAAAAATATCGTTGCGTTCCTTGCTCTTCATTATTCCTCTAGTAGCAGAGAATAATTTATAAATACCTTTTGCAATCTTTCTTAAATAACTCAAGCAACAGAACCGACCACAAATCGATTAAAACTTACAATATAAATATGGTGGGTATAAGGGAGGTCCTGAAACTCATGAAACTTACATTTTTTTAATTTGTTATGAAAAATGAAATTTCATTGAGGTTAGGACCTTCCTTCCAGCCTCCATATTTACGTTGTAATGTTCGAAACGAGTTCAGCGAAAAGTTTCATGAACGATCGACCCCTCGGATACCATTTTCGCATTCCCTTAATGTTTAAAATCGAACGAGGGATGCATTAATGATTTTCTGCTCGGAATAGATCATTATACCTTTTATTTTTAAGATTGTGCTGATATTTCCTGTTTTGGCCGTGAAAAAATGTTGCAGTTTCGGGATTCAAGCCCAGAACCCGCGAATGGCTGAAACCAACGAAAACCCCCCAAAGAGTTAAATATTTTAACTTTGAAATTTCTGAAACAATGAAATAATGTAACGGTCGACCCAGGAAGGTCTCGTAACGTTAAAGAAATACGTTGGTGGGTTTACTTCGCGAGTTAAAAATTGTCGGAATCTAACGTCTGGAGATGCTTCAATTAGCTCGAAGAGTGCTCCGCGGATTCCGAGACCAACCGAGACTCGATCCGGACTAACCCGGGACGCAATAGAGATTAATCCGAGATCGAGACTCCACCGAGACTCGGGATTTTTACGCGGGACGTTCCGCGAACGGATTATGTAAACGTTTTCTCTTCCATCCCAGATGCGCTCGACTAATCGCATCGCAACGTGCTCGTTTCCTCGCAGAGCGTGAAGCAGCGAATATCTCATAGTACAGTCCAGCGATGCGACGAGTCGAGTATTTTAGCTCGTTAAGGGGACGTGAAAGTGGCATCCGAAGGCTCAATCGTTCATGAAATTTTTCTACGAATTGAGTATACCGAGGTACTTCAAACATTACAATGTGAACGCAGAGACTATAAGGAAGGTCCTGACCCTCGTGAAATTTCATTTTCTTAGAACGCAGAGACTATAAGGAAGGTCCTGACCCTCGTGAAATTTCATTTTCTTATACAAAATTTAAAAAATACCTATAAGCAAATTAAAAAAAAATTGAAATTTTACAGGTTTCAGAATTTTTAATTTTATTTTTGTAATTAATTTAAATTTTTTAAAAAATCCAAATTTTGAACGTATCGGGACAATTCTTAGATGATCACGAGTATGTAACAATGTTTCGGACAGGGTATTGAGTACCCTGAAAAAAAAGTGTTCTATTCGAATCGACCTATTTGAGCGGGGTTACACGTCACCTTAATCGTGTGGGTGATTGTCGGCTCAAATGGTACTTTCGTTTACCCCTTCCGCTGCAATATGATGTATGTATATACATGGTCTATCATCTGATTGGGTTTGATCTTCGCGCGGACGCGATGCACCTCAGTTGGTACATTCGAGTTTACCCCTTCAATTGCAATGCGAGGTCTAGATATCTATTCGGACGTGTTCGGACGTATTCGGACGTCCTCGGACGTCCTCGGACGTCCTCGGGTACCCTCGGAAACTCGAATACTCGAATACTCTTCGGCCGCGACGAACCCTGGACCGGCCGGCGATGCGATAGCGCCTCGAAGAATGAAAGAGGAAGGAGAAGTAGGAAAAATAAGGAGAAATATGTGATACTCCCGATTGCAGGAACGAGATCGCGCCGGGGACGGTTTGCGGTGCGCCCTGAGGTTACTGCTCCTGCTGGCGAGGCTCTGCGTAAACGACGATAAGTACAACCTACTCGAGTCGGCGATCGGATTCGTGCCGCAGCTGCACGACGACGTAGTACGTAAGATTCCCGGCCCGATTACGTTTTCTCCTGCTACTTCTACTTTTTACCCCCAAGGAGGCTTCCCCTGCCCTCCGCTTCCTCTCGCTTCCTCTCGCTTCCTCTCGCCGCGCGAGACGAAGCGAGACGAAGCGAGAGGAAGCGAGCCGACTGCGGCCGGGTCCCCGGTCGGAAATTAAGGTGGGGCGAAAGTGGCATCGAAGAGGTCCCGTTTATCATACTTTTCTCCGATTTCAAACCTTATAATATGAACATGGAGACTATAAGGAAAGTCCTGACCCTCGTGAAATTTCATTTTTTATCAAAAATTTTGAAAATATCTATAAACAAATTATTAAAAAATTCAAACTTCATGAGCGTCAGGACCTTCCTTATAGCTTTCACGTTCATATTTTCAAGTTTGAAACGATTCGGTACACCCAGTTCGATGAAAAGTTTCATAAACGAAACATTTTTGACGTCACATTCGCATTGCCTTAAGGGGATATGAAAGTGGCATCTGAAGAGGCAATCGTTCGTGACTTTTCTCCAAACTGGATGTACCGAATCGTTTCAAACCATACAACGTGAACATGGAGGCTATATGGAAATACCCTTCGTATTTATGCTGTAAAGTTTAAATCGATTCGGTGCAACCAGTTTGAAGAACGGTTTCATGAACGAAACCTCTTCGAGGCCACTTTCGCATCCCCTTAAGGGAGGCGACGCGATTTATGTCTTCCCGCGGCGTCGATTTCTTCTCGGTCACGGGGAAGTTCGTTCTTCCAGGGATGGGAGGAGATAGCCGACGTCGGACTGTCCGTCTTGTTGAAGGCGACCTCCAGGAAGCAGGAACACGAGGTTGTCGGGTCCTGGAACAAATTGGAGCCCGTGAGAGACGTCGGCAAGCTGAAGAAGCGCATCGTCCACGCCGTGGAGAGACTCGGCAAGGACGCGAATTTAACGGAATTCGAATCCGCTGATCCTCCTCCGGAGGATCCTATACGCTTCTCCGTTGCGTCCTCGATGTCCTCGACGTCCTCGACGTCGTCGTTCGCTTCCCCCGAGGATGGCGATGGCTCCCGTCCGGTCTGATGACTCTCGGAAGCTCCGCTCCTCCTTGCTGCCTTCTCTCAGAAAAATAAAAGCCTTATGAGGATATGGAAGACGCTAAGAAATTTAACGTCGTCGATAAAGTCAAATTCATCTATACCCTTTTTGGGGGGAATGCCGTTTTGAATACTCAAGTGGGAACATAAGCTGGCGCGTCCCATTACCGACATTTATATTTATGTTGAAGTCTTTTACAGTCTACGTTGAGAATTATACGAACTGAAGGGTTCTATATGTCATTTCGGTAAAGTAACGATAAAAGATGTGAAACTGTCGAAATCCCATGAATTCACGACCGTCTATATTTTGACAAACGAACGTCGCTACCCTACTTTAGGGCCTTCATATTCCCGTGGTAAAATTTGAAACTAATCGGTACCCTCAATTCGGAGAATACTCTCCCCAACGATTTGATTTCTCAGGTATATAAAGGCTGACTCTTTCATATATCCTCTTGAAGTTACACAAACCTATCCGTTTGGAAATCGTTGTTCGCGACACGGTTCAAAACTGTCCCATTAAGGTGAAGTGAAACATGCCGAGGAACTTAATCGACGTCGGTAAAGATCTTTTTAAATGCCTACGTTGCCGATGTTCGTTTTCATATCGACAGCTATGTCGAATTATATCGAGTATTGTACTAAATGGCATATTCCATCTGTCGTTTTCGTACAATAATTATAAAGAAGTCGAAGCAAACCTCCAGAAATCTTCTGGATTCATGGTTTCTGAGGCCTAATTGACTGCAGAGGGACCCCCTGCGCAATCTGTGATTTCCATGTTAATTAAATTTTCACTCCAAGACCTTGTATTGCCATCGTTTTAGCATCGAAGCGTGTAAGACACTTTTTATGCCTTTATCCCTTTCAAATGCAAGTTTATCGATTACTAAAGTGTCATCAAATTGTCCTAACCCTTTCGTTTTGCATATAAGAGCCTTCAATAATTGGATATCCATTGAAATATGAGAGCTCAACGCCATTTTGGTTCTGGTTTGAGCTAAGTCAAAAAATTTTGTTCGAAAATCCAAATTTTGAAAATGTCAGGGTAATTTCTAGGTGTTCACGAGTCATGTGTCAAAGTTTCAGACGGTTCTATCCAAAACCCTTAAAAAAAAGTGTCTTATTCGAGTCGACCGATTTGAGGGGGGTTTCACTTCACCTTAAGGGGATATGGAAGTGGCGACAAAGAGTCTCGTTTATTAAATTTTTCTTCGAACTGCATTTACCGAATCGTTACAAACTTTACAACGTGAATATAGAGACTATAAGGAAGGTCTTGACACTCATGAAATTTCAATTAAAAAAAATTTTCTACAAAACGACTAAAGTAATTAATTATTACGTTGCATTTAACAATTTACATTCAGATAATTACCCACTCCGCGCTGCTGTAGATAGTAATTGAAGTTCAATTAATTAAGGCAGCACTTTCTTAACGTAGAAATCACTCTTAATTGCGCGGTGACTTTCCGTTGAGTAATAAATTAATTGCACCGCGATGTCAAAGAATATAATCAATGTTTATTAATGCCCATGCTTGCACCGTGTAATTAACGATTGTATAAATAATGGGCACAGTCTCACGGTTTAAGATATCGGCAATTTTGTATTACGGAATTGCCAGCCATTAACGGATAATTAATACAATAAAACTTTGCCTCCGTTAACGGAAAATCTCTTCCTCTCTTACGATGTTCGTTTAAACGAAACGTTTATTGAATTTAAAGGAACCAAATCGTTCGATCACGTGAAACAAATATGGTCAATCGACAAATACGTTTCAACAAGGTATACCTTGTTCGATTGTATAACAAAGAAAGAATAAGTTTCATTGAAACATATTTGTTTATCAATGAAACGAATCATTCCCTCGGGGTGGGGATTGAGATAAGACTTGCGGAATTAGACCGCAAAATAGAAATGAGATGAATCAGGGACTCGGAGGAAAGGTTGTGACCGCCGAAGATGAGACATCCTCGACGACGCATCTACGTCGACGTCGTCATCCGGATGTGCTCCCGCAACGGATTACGTGGAACCTGCACGTCGGCTTCGTAATCGAATTCCCTGGAAACTCGGGGCGTTCCTTTTTACGTATACAAAAAATATAAATGTCTCTCTTCAAAGAACGGATTCACTCTTTTTTCCTCTCCGACTATTACGAAGCGCGACTTCCTACGCAAGAATATCCTATAATGCCGTGCAAATGCAAAGTGCAGATTTGTGAAATGTTAAAATTTGCTCCCAATCATCCAATTTCCGGTTAATAATTAAGGCAACGCGAAGACTCAATGGTTTATCGTACTTTTGAAATTTTACGTGATTACGAGGACACTAAGGAAGGTTGGGGTGCCCATGTAGTTCCACTTTGTATAACAGAAGTGTAAAAATTGTTTGTAAAAATGAAATTTCACGAGTCAGGGCTTCCACATTCACGACGTAAAGTATTAGTCCAGTCCTGAGAAAAGTTTCGTAAATAACATTTTGCAAAAATAACTGATTACAGTTTATAATTGTATACAAGCACTACCGTATTTGGGAAAAATAGTTGATTTCCATTTTTTGTGGGGAAAATGCGATTTCAGCTATTTTTATAACAGAAGTAGATAAGCAAAATATATTTGGCGATTACACTTTTCAAGCAAGGTCGTTACCTACCCGATCTTTATTTAAACGGCAAATGATCTCCAATAAATTTGTACAATAATCGCCCTTAAATAAGGATCCATATAGAGAGCAATAGCGTGCGGCGATTTTAATATCAACTTTGTTAATCCGGAAGCACGGTTGCAAATTGACTTATTAGATAACGAATTAAAATTAATCAACGCTCACGAAAGCGTTTACGTGAATTCCATTAATAATAAAATACAAAGACGAACGTAAATTGTAATTTTCTGTTAAAAGAAAAAATAAGCGTTTCACTTTTCGTAAGAAGTTTCACGGAAAAGGTGACGCTATAAATAAACCGTCCATAACCTCACTCGGTAATCGGTCGCGTTAGATCCTTTTAATCGCACCTTTGGAGCGATCAGGCCTTACAAGTATTTATCATTAATAAGTTATTAATAGAGCAAGACTTAATTGCGTTATTTAAGGCTTAATTGCGGAGCTATTTAATAGGGAAGTTTGTGTGCAGAAAAAGAGCGGCCTTGTCAGCACGGTTTCAAGGAGGCGCCACGAGGCCGTCATCGCGTGATAAATGTGTGGTAAATGGGACCGGAAATGACACGATTGCGTTCCACATTCTACTCTTATGAATTTACTATCTGTAAAGCATTGCCCGGGTCCGTTTAGCCGTTTTCAAGTGGAACTTCTTATGGGGCGGCAATAACTTTAAGTTCGCCCGTTTCGGAAAGTGAAAAACTTTTTCTTTCTTTTCCTTTTCCAGGTAATTACTATTTACCTTCACCGTTGCATTTTAGCGTTAACAGAACTTCCATAAACGTTTCCGTTAATTTTATTTCATCTCAACCTGTTGCCAAGGATGAGCGGGGACACGTTTCGCGGCATCGTTTGAAAGGGCGGCACGGCCCCCTGGCGCCCTCTACGCCCTTTACTCCTCTGGAAAAATTGGAACTACTTCCAAAAGGACAAATCTCCGCGATCGGTAAAACAGGGTATACGCGGGTGCGGTGTCGTAATCTCAATTATCCACGCATAACAACTTTATTTGGTATTCGTGGTCTTCTTTCCCAACCTGTGTTGACCCGATACTAAAAACAAAAAGGCGATAACTTTGTTCTATCGATCCTACGTCGTACTTGAAATCTGCACCCGCGTTTTTCTTTACCGACGCCCTTCTTTCGACAATGGCGTAAAACATCTCCCCGCTCATATGTGCTGTTGTTTAACAACTCAATGGGCGGCTGTGCCCTAGACTTGACGAATGGAACGTTAAAGTAGCTGCTTTTTGTTGTGTTCATACTCGAACGAAGCCGTACCAGTTTAGAACGACTTAAAAATCCCGATATCGACGTCGATCAAGTTCCTCGACGTGTTTCACATCACCTTAAAGCATGTAAAACTTCTTGTCACGACTAAATTGTTGCGCGGGTTTAGAGGGTCCTTTTCCATAATCGATGGCTTCCGGCCCGAGGAACGAGAATCTCTCCTCCTAATAACGGGGGTCCTCGAAACGCCAAGGCGGTGGTCCTACCTGCGGATCCCACGGGATAAGGACGAAGCCGCGTCCTAAAAGAAAGGCCGGGATGAGCGTAGAGGGAGAGAGGAACAAGAAGGTGGAAGATCCGCGGGGCGCAGCTGCAACAGGTTCGGATGGCTCAAAGAGATTCTTCCAGGAACGGCGTTATCTCGCTCGGTGGTCCTCCCAGGGGAAGGATTAGCGGTTAGACGGATAACGTTCCTCGAACTAAGGACTCCGTTTTTTACCCCCGAGACGTTAAGTGCTCTTCGCGTTGGCCTTCTCGGGGAACCCCTGATGACATCTTGTTAGCCGGCCATCCCAGGTGTTCCTTTCTTGAATCCTGGCGAACACCTGTTTGGGGAAGATGGAAGACCCGGCGTTATCCCGACGGGCCTTCGTTAGGGAAGGATCAGAGGTTAGGTTCCTTAAGGTGATGTGAAAGTGGCGCGAAGAGGTCGCGTTTATGAAACTTTTCCCCAAACTGAGGGTACCGAATCGTTTCGAACTTGCCAATGTGAATGTGGAAGCCATACGGAAGGTCCTCGCGCCCATTAAATGTCAATTTCTTCAAATATTTCTTTATAGGGTTTCAACATTTTTTATCGAAATCGAAATTTCATGAGTTTCAGGACCTACCTTAAGGCCTCCACACTTACGTTGTAAAATTTGAAACGATTCGGCACCTCCACTTCGTAAAAAAGTTTCAAGAACGATTGACCTTTCGGCATTCTATGCACACGAAACGTCAAGATATTTAAGAAACTTTTCTCCAAAATGGGTGTACCGAATCGTTTCAAACTTTACCACGTGAATATGGAGATCATAAGGTAGGTTCTGAAACTCGCTAAAATTCATTGCTTGTAAAAATTTGTTTAAATATCTGTGAGGAAATTTTCTTAAAATTCAATTATCATGGGGGTCAGGACCTTCTTTATAGCCTCAATATTCCCGTTGTACAGTTTTAAATG